ATTTAACCACAAATTATATAACTTAATCCAAAACACACCTTATGAGTTTGCAGTTGGCACTGAAGAACTAACCACTATTAAGGCACTTCAATTGCTTTGGCCACTGCTTCAGACTAAAAATATCATCCGCATCTTAGCTAAACTACTAACAACTTCAGAACTAATTCACGACATCTTCCCCCACGGTTTTTTCCCCGACGACTAACAGGTAAGTATGAATTAAGTAAATATTACTAACTAATTAAAATATTAAAAACTCACCATTCTTTATCCATGTTTTCTCTAGATTTTTAGCCTTCATCCGACGATCACCTACAAAAACCACAAAAGACAAATAAAAATCGCAAATTTCATCAAACAGATTTCAAAATTTTATTAATCTCTTACACTTATAAAATTATAAATTTAATACCAATGCAGTAAATTCATTTCTAAAATTTTCCCCACAAGCAGTAAATCTAATTATAATGAAAATTTGTATCTTAAAATTCCCCCATAACTAGCAGTAAATTTCCAAATTCTATGCAGTAAATTAATAAAATGCAATTGCAATACTAACCTTTTGATATTTTCATTCATTCGCACAGAAATTCTATCCACACTCGCACAGCTCGCCCACGAAGAATTGTTTAAAATAATGAATTTCAGTTTCAAGTTTTCACACTCAATAACTCTAACATATAATAACATGTTTCAAACTTTCCTTTAACCCGGTTGGAAAGGAATCATATACTAAACAAAACTAACCAACGCAGCTTACTAAATACCACAAATCATAGAATAACAGCATGACTAAGAAAAGGAAACCAACGGTACCCAAACCGGATTAACCCAGTTTAAAACTGGATAATTTATTCTTTTGAAGACTATTATAAAGTCTAAGAAAGAAATAATAAAACACAAAAAAGTCGAAAGACAAACCCATACCACGAACAATTTGATTTTTGAAAAAAAGGACACAACCAACAAAACATAAGAAAAACCACAACAAACCCAACATAAAACGTTGTCACATAACAGGACCTCTCACAAAAACCGCATGAAATCATACTCCCACTCCTGGCCTAACCCACCAGGAAGGACGTCCTGAGCATGCTCTATAGCCGGCCTAACCCACCGTGCTACATCCACGCTTTGTGACCACACCTCTATTTTTAATAAGAGCTACTCAAGTGTGAGTAACTCTTCAAAATAACCGAACTAAAACAAAAAGCTTTTGTGAAAACAACTAACTAAAATCATTATTAAAAAATATTAAACTAATAAAAGTTGTATAAAATATAAAATCACATGATGCAATATATAGATCAGAATACAACACCAAGGACGAACATCAAAAGACAAGACGACCCCACTACACTCGAGAGAGAATGACCAACTACAATCGATATGCCGCTCACAACCACAACTCAAAGGATTTAGAGTACGACTTGACCTCGCAGAAAAGGACTTCATTGAACTAGACCAATGACCACCTCGATGTTCAAGTATACGTACAGATCCGAGTAACCAGGCATCCCCTCCACGCACAATCTCCACGCCATTCCCAAGCTAGATCAGACACAAAAGAAGTTCTCCACGAAGAACAGAAAAACCTGACATAGCCAACCATTCTGAAATCAGATTTGAGTTTGTTGCGAAGACTTAGTCGTTGTCACTAGAAGACACAACGTCTTATGTCTCTAACTCCAGCTTCCTGGAACTTCTTTAACAAAAAAGGAAACAGAAGAAATAAGATGTTCGCCAAACACCAACTTCCATCATCCATCCTTCGAATTGCAGAAGAACTATTCTAAAAAACTCTGTAAAACCCGGATGGGTGGAACCTGATCTAAACTATATTTTATGATTGGATAAATTAAATGTTTTACCAATGTAAAGTATTTAATATTAACCAATCATGATCCATCTAACTAACAACCCACTTATTTGTAAGTGCTGAAGTTACTTGCAACTTCAGCACCAGAGAGATTTGAATTTAACTTAGAAATTAGTTGGACTCTCCCGAGCACTTCAGCAGCCGCAATAAACCAGTATACCCTAGATCTATTGAGCCTAGCAGAGACTAGTTAAACAACCTGAGACTAGATAGTATAAGAGTAAGATTAGGATCGGTATTAGACTAAGAAGTTGCACGAATCTATCCGGCCGAAAATAAGATAGCGTGACGAGCAGACGGTGTACCCTATCCGAAATTACTCTATGAGTTATACATACCAGTCCTAACTCATCAAGCTCAGTTTATTTCCTTTGTTTAAAAGAAGGCAACCTACTCTTTCGATCAGCTAAAGTTCCTGGAGGTAACTAAAAATTTAATCGCTTTCTAATTTCAAATGTGAATTTAGTTTTTCAGATTTCGCAGTGGAATAGAAATTATCTATTGGTTCAGTTTTCTCACATTGGGTTAATTTTATTGTAAAAGTGTCGATCCTCCCTAGCCTTGTATTTGAAAAATACGCTCTCCAAAAAAGGCAATAAATAAAGGCAATAAATCTCCAAATGACCTTCGAATTTAGTCATCTAGTTTTATATTGTCTATTTGATTTGGATGATAGACAATAAATCGGTGTTCTTATCTCGTCTTAGGCTATCAACTGTATTTGGGTAACCCCTCTCCACTCAGTCTGCAAATTTTTTGACGGCTGGTCATATTTATTGCCTTTTTTTGCACATGGGTTGTACCACCGTTTCCAATGTGTAAACTCGTGTCAGGTTTGTATTCGGTTTAAATGTGATCCTTCTGTTTTAACATTCTTTTTTGCATTTGAATTAGGTTTTTTGCTCATGAATATGCTTTGGGTTGTTCATCAATCCTTCTACCGCCTTACGTATGTTCCCAAAGTTTATGGATGTCTGGTTTGATTCGAGTGCTGCTGTCTTGTTTTTGCTTCTGCAAACTTTCTCTCGTAATTCTCTCTTGTAATTTGCAAAAATACTTTTCACTAAAATTTGATTTTTCGCGGTAAGACTTTTGATTTTTTTCCAAGTTTACTTCCTTTCCTTTGTTGAAAGTAAGGCACACTCCAGAATCGAACAGCAATTGCGCAAAGGTCACAAAAATAAAAATGTGACCAACCTTTAGTTTCGAAAGTGGATTTTAATTTCCAGATTTCCCAATGGAATAAAAAATCTACCTATGATATTTTATCAAAAAAGTGTGTAACATAAATTGTTATTGAGTTTCAAAGAACTTCAAAGCTAAAATATTTTTTTTTAGAATCGATGATTGTAGTTCGGACTCTTATATTGGTCGCGATGTAATTTGTTTTTGTTTATTTTTGCACGAAAATTTTTTGTGCTTAAATTGGTTTTTTCGCGATTTGACTTTGATTTCTTTTTAAGTTCAGTTCATCTCCTTTGTTAAAAGGAAGGCAAACTCCAATATCGAACAGCAAAAGTGTAAAGGTCACAAAAATGGTGATTGAATTTTAGCTTCGAAAATGGAATTCAATAATTAAATTTCCCAGCGAAATAAAAATTTTACCAATTGATCCAGTTTTCTCAAATTGGGTTATTCTTATCAAAAAAGTGTATATCATAAATTTTAGTACTTCCAAAAGTTTTTAGGCCATCTACGCTTTTTCTTGGAAGTTCTAGAAATTATTTTTTCTGTTTTCTTGCGTTCATGGCTTTTTTCCAACTGTCTGTTGGCTATGTTTTTATTTGAAATTCGATAGTTGGTTATGTTTTGGTTTTTCCAGTTCTTCCATCCATCTCAGTACTGCGATCTTCGTTTGTCTTGTGTCGGGCTTCCTCATAGCATGCCAAGTGCGTTCAAGTACTCTTTTTCTTATCGTTAAATACTCTATCGTTAAGTGCGTTAAGTACTCTTTTAGCTCGCCTTTCTGTGGGCTGAGGGGTTGTTACTCCATACTTGGCAGCAAAAATTATCAATCCAGTACTAGTGACACTATGTATCACTTTCGTTATCAAGTGATCTGCAGCTTTTTTTCGGCCGATGCAGTTCCATAAATGGCGAATATCAGACGCTCGTTTTTAGAGTTTATTTTTTTAATTCGGGTTATTGCTCCTCCCAAACTCGTTCATTGTGGCTTTTTTTCCCAGTACCGTGCTCTATTTATTCTTGGCTACCCAGCATGGTCGTGTCATCTGCGAAAGATGTATGTATGTGACCTTTTGCTGCCTGGCAGCCAGCTCCATCTGATACCTATCTCATTTGGCTCTTTTATTCGGCGTTGTCCTGCTAGCCTTATGGTGGAAGATGTTGAATGAGCATTGAGCATCGGGGGGTAGAAAATCCTTTGCGAAGTCTTCACTCGGGTAGCCAATCAGCGCTATTTAGTTACCACTCCTCGCCAATGCTGTTTATTACGCGAGATTGGTAGTTCTCAGTATAGAATTAGCCTTGTTTGAAGAAATTTCCCACCCTGAACGACAGGTTTTCGTTTTTATTGGGGATTTGTGGGGTGGGGAAGGCGGATGAGGGTAGTATGAACAGCTGAGATCCATCATCATTTTTTTGCATATTTGAATATGATGGTAGACATATATCGGTGTGAGGGAAATATCGTGACTCGGGTATTCTAACTAAGGTTTCTATGTAAACTATTAGGCATGTCTAATGAGATCATTCGGCAAATTGCGCATATAGCCTTAATCAACCTTGAATCCAAAGGGAAATAAATTTACTCCGTATTCAATCATTAAGCAGCATTTGGCGCCAAACTTGGGAAATTTAGTGAGATTTGTCATTAAGCTGCTGAAGTTGAACTTGCTGCAAAAAAAATTGATAGTATTACTCAAAAATTTTTTCAAACAGTTTGACCGAAGATTAATAATTTGTTAAGTGAAATTATTCTGCTGTTTTTCTGTCGACCTCTAAATTTCAACGTTTAATTATGTGATTTAGTGTGGCGATAGTTCACTTGGTTCATTAACGGGAAGATGGTCGGCCATGAATTCTTTTACAGCCAATATATAGGTTCCGGTTTCAAGCAACAATTGACGCAGTAATTGATTGGGCTTTCCTTCCTTTTCAGCGATGATCGCGGGTGCACTTGCAGGACTCCTCTGCACAATACTGTGCACAATATTCGTAGTCTACAGGATGAGGAAGAAGGATGAGGGCTCTTATGCTCTAGACGAGCCCAAGAAGTACAAACACGAGTACTACATTGCCAGTGCTACTAAAGAATTCTTCGCCTAATGTCTATTCACTTCACTACACCACATAAATGTCCCCAACCTGAAACTTTTCTATCTTAACTGCAAATGAACCCCAAACTAATATCCCTTACTTTACGCCAAATTGGACGGACTCAGAATCGAATCAGGAGTCGATACAAACCACAGCTGATCGTAAAGATTGTTCAATTTTCCACCAATCGACAGAATGAAATTGGCAGTTAAACTGCAGTTGAAAGTTTTGGCTGATATTCGTCAGTGTTTAGTTGGATGCAGAATTTGATTGCGGCTTTGTATATTGTGGTTGCGGGAATGGAAACAACGTTTCGTGTCAACTTTTGGTCCGATTTGATCTGATCTGAATTGTTCCTCCAAAAGTTTATCCTTTCCTAGATTCTGGTATTGACCTTATTTTTTCATTTTGTTTGTTACCCCAAAAAATAAATGATACGTGCAACGTGAAAAATGCAGAATAAAGTAGTGTTTCGATTAGATTTGCTGTAAATTTATACGAATAATATTTCATCATGATTGATAGTTATAGTAGCTGATTCTCAGTAGATTGTATTAATCGCTGCTTATGAAAAATTATTTCGAGATCTTGATTTTTCAAAGTCATGGAAAGGTGTTGGATTTCGTAAATACTTTCTCATTAAATGTGCTAAAAAATTCTAAAATTGTCACGTGATTATTTCATTGCTAGGTTACTGCAGTTGTTTGTCTCGAAATTGGTCAAACAACGAACACTTTATTATTAACTGGTAATTAATTAATAATAACTCAGTTGCGTTTCCCTCCCACCAAATGTTGACGAAATGACTTCTAACCAACAGCGTGCTAAATCTTAAAAGTACTTTTTGTATAAAAAAAAAATTCGAATTACGTCCAATCTGATCAATTTTTGCTCACACATTTAATTTTTCCACTAGATTTGTTGATTTGTTTTCATGTCAATTTTAAGTTTTATTACTCATCCGGTAATCCATCTGAGCTCACATGTATATTAAGGTCATCCAAATACGTCGATTTTTTTTGTTTAAATCTAAAAATTTGAACCACTCCATTTCAACTACAACACTTTTTCTTTCAGCAAAGTATAAAGCTAAAATCGTCAATGATTGCTAGCTATAGCTGGAATTTGATGCGAATTGAAAAACAAAGTCAATTTATTTATTTTTTTTTGAAATCCAAAAAAAATCAATTTAGAATATCGACAAGAAACTCGACAAAGTTTTGAAGATTTCATAGAAAAAGCTTCATTTTAGCAAAAGCACATTGTTTTCTATCTTTCTATTCTCTTTGCAGTAACAGCTAAATTATTAAATCAAAGTTTTCAGAGTTGATAATTGAGTTTCAATGAAATTTATCAAAATATTCTGAAAACTGGAAATGATGCTGGTGAATTTGTAGTTTTGTAGTGTTGTTATACATTTTAGTTGAAAATGCCATATAATTAATCTTCCTTTTCAGTCATTTAGACTCGCACAAGGGACTTCGGTGCACTTTTTCAATAACTCACAAAGCGCAGTAAGTTTCAACAAAATTCACGAGTGGAAAATACTGTTCATAGCCAAATCGACGAAAATGAAACAATAAGTAACAAGTAGCTATTTTATTTTTTATCTAGAAGTAGTGAAAGTTTCCAGTTTAGTCGATCTGGCACAAGATTGTTTGATTGGATTAGCTGTGTGATTTGCCAAAAATTGGAATGTTGTAAATCCCTTAACACAAGTAGAAAAGGATCTTCTTCAAAGTAGAAATTACAGTTTTCAGCTACAATTTTTTTTCATTAAAAACATAGGAAAGGTTTGTTAGTTTTAGCGAAACAAATTTCAATTTATGATTTGTTTAGAAATCTGAGACTGTAATTGTAAAAAATTATTGTGAGAATTATTCAGTAAAATCTTGGAAGCATAAAAAAGTGCAAGTAAAAAGATCCAAGAGCGAATTTTTTGTTCTAATTAAAGTTCGCATCAATCGAATCACAATATGATTCAAATAAAGGTAAGTCAGATATGCCTGATATAAATAATTCTTCTAATCAAGTGCTTAAAAACGGATAAATCCATCACCGGAGTTTGTTCACAATATAAATTAATTTGACTTCTAAATGAACTAAAGACAATTCAAAATTATTCGTCAACCATCTTGACCGAGTTGAAAATCAGTTATACGGATCTTGCAAAATCAGAAAATGCCCAAAACGCTGGATTGTATCTAATGGACTGTAACAGATTTCGTCCCATGACAGATCTCGTCCCATTTTAATTTCAACAGATTTCGTCCCATTTCAAAGCGTACACAGATTTCATCCCACAAATTTGGATGTGAGATGATAGGAAGTTGGATATGGGACGAAATCTGTTAATTAAATAAATAGGGTGATATCTGTAGTAGGACGAAATTGTGCCAATCATCTGATGAGCTAGTAGATGATGAAAAAAACTAGTAATCTTTTTTTTTGGAGCGAGAAAGAAAACTTCCTTCAGACGCAAACATGCAGCCAAGTCAAAATTATAGAAAATTGGTTCCTACAATTTTACGTCCTACGATTCAAGTGATATATAATTCCAAAGTTTTTTTCGATAATTCAATCACAGTTTTATTTGTTTAATTGTAGAATATTTAAAGAGAGAATTTGTGATTTGTCACGCAATATAAATACCTTTATTTAGATTGCGTATCTAAAATTTTTGTTGTCTTTCGACCTTTTGCAATTTTTTTACAGTTGCAAAGCGAATTGTTATAGTACGAACTTCCTTTTTCCAAGTTAAGTCGCAAATATTGTTGCGACTAAGTCGCAAACATTATTGCGACTTAATGCAACAATATTTGCGACATCAAATTGGCAATCACGACTTTATCGAAACAACCTGATTGGTCATTTGTTGCACCTTTACAGCTTATTGATAAGATGTGCTTTGACATTCGAAGAGTAATAAGTTTACACAGTTGATGCATTTTTAATTCAAAAGTGAACTGAAGAAAGCTATTTGTTTCAAACAACTTATTAATAATAAAATCTTGATTTCAGAAATTTTTTGAACTCAATATATCTGGCATTTTTTTAAAATGCGTAATTTATACATAATGTGGCTTTATGATTTGCGATTTATTACAATTTTACATCTTTTTGTATTTTTGGTACTAATTTTGCTGCATCGAATTTGCAATTGATTAGCATATGTATCTGCGTTATTGGTGGCTAAGTTTTGAGCATCCGAATTTTGAGCATCCGTTGCTGAATGGTTAGTGCGTGACACTCAAACTTGCTAGGTCGCAGATTTTTGCTGTTTCGAGTTTTTACTAAGCCCAGAGTTTTTTCAAATTGGAGTCCTTTTTTCTAGTTTTTCGTATGTCACTTGATAGAGCTGCTTTTCAGTCGTGTTCTTGCAAGTGCTTGCGAAACGCAGCTTTGCCTCTGTGTAAAATTATGTGTGGATATTAAAAACTATATTTCTATTCAAAAATCCGCATTTTTAGCGTTGTTATTTTGTTTCAGTTTTTGGTGACTAATAAGCACGATAATTTTCATAAAATAAGGGACCTATTTAGGATATAAACGAATTTTAAGATTCAACGAACGGACCTCAGACTCTTAGATACGTCGAGGTGTATAAGAGTAATGATCGTAGATCGTGCTGATTTTCTAGTTTTTTTTTTCAGGAAAATCTTGAAATTTGTTCACGCTCAAATTTGATTTTTCGCGGTTTGACTTGGTTTTTTTTTAAAGAATAGTGCATTTCTATTTTTAAAAGAAAGGCAAAGTCATCTATCGAACAGCAAAATTGTAAAGGTCACTAAAATCGTGATCGACTTCTAATTTTGAAAATAGAAATTAATGTCAAATTTCCCAGCCAAATAAAAGTTTTACCTATTTATCCAGGTTTCTCAAATTTGATTAATTTTATCAAAAAAGTGTCAATCATAAAATAGTCATGAATTTCAAAAAGCTTTAAGGTAGTCTCTTTTTTCTATGGAATTCATCAATTGAAGTTTTTTGAAAAACAAGTCGGTTTTTTTTCTGTTTCCTTGCGTTCATTACTATTTTCCAATTGCCAGTTGGCAGTTTTTTTTTTTCAGGAGAAGTCTGAAGATTTGTTCCGGCTCAATTCTTCTTTTTTTGCTGTTCGATTTTTTATGTATAGTTCGTTTCCTTATGTGTACTTCGTTCGCTCCGCTTTGTTGAACGTGATTTTCACGCCGGATATCGTAAGCTAGGTACTAAAACGGCAAAATTTGTTTTTTTAAAAGATTTTTTCAAGCTTGTTTATATCGGGACAATCTGTACTACTTGCTCAGATAATCAATAATCTTGATCACTGTTTGAGAACCGTGATTCAGTCAATCATTATTTTTTAATTTGCGAGAAATTTTCTAAAAGTCTTTTTGTCATTTTCTTGGAACATTATGTCAAATAACCATTTTGTTTCTCTGTTGTTGCGTTTTTCGTTAACCTTTGGATGAGCAAATTTAAATACTAAGGGATTATGATAGGGAATATTATAATTCGAATTTAACTACCAGTTCAAATTTTTTTCTTTTGTAGTTTTTCCGGTAAATACTGTATAAAGAACTCAAGCATTGCATGTATTATTTTTGAATCAAGATTTGATTTGCTTTGGGTTTCGTGATTGTCTTTTTAAGCACTTTCGTTTAGTTTGCGAATCGTGTATATCAGATTACAAAAATTCTAATTAGCTATTTGGTTTCTATGTGAGAGATTGATGCAAATATTTCGCAAAAGTATTTTTGCCAAATGTTTTTGATTGATTGTCAGCTTATTGGGTGTCAGCTGTAATTCTGTGGGTTGGATCAACTAGTTTTTTATTTCCTGTTTTTTGTTTACAATTTTTGCCGAACCTTATTTTGAAATTGATTTTTCCGGGAAAAATAGAATTGAATGACTTTTGTTAGTCTGCTCAAGTTTTATCGGATCAGTTTCCACATTCGGGAATTTTCTTGTGTTGTCAGCATTTTTCATCGTAGATGCAAGTATTTTGATTCCTGTAATTTGTTAAGTGAATGGCCCTGAACAATGTTTTCCTTGTTCTTCTTGTTTTTTTTTCCCGCTTATTAGCTTTTTTGGCTTAACTGGTTTCGGCTATGTTTTATCGGCGTTGCTACCTTATTCTTAGTGTCGCTTGAGAGCAATTGAAGGTTTATAGAAGTGCATGTAATTGAGTGCTAAGTCTTTTATCAATTTGTTTTTTTTTGACTAAAACGGTTTTGGGTTTTTTGTTCCGACCTTTTGAAAAATGGGGCGGAACTTTGTATTCGGGTGTTTTAGTTTTTTTTTCTTTTTGTTTTCCACGCAAAATCAGCAAGTACCAAAAACTTATCATATTGGATCGAATGATATATCATATTAAAGCTTTTTCAACCGTGATTCGAACGACATAAAAAAAATTTTCAGTGTCGAGAAAAACCGGTTTGAAATTTTTGGTTTAATTTTGCACTAATATGGTGTGAGCGTTTACGCTTACAATAGCTTCCGAAAAATTCCTCAACACATTTATCAAATTTTTTGCAGAAATTTTTTGAAGCCATTGTGAGTCTAAACGCTCACACCATATTAGTTCGAAATTAGACCAAGAATCAAAATGTTGAATTTTTTAAATTTTAAAAATGTTTTGATGTCTCAAGAAAAATTTTTATTTAATTTTTTTTTTGGTTTTTCTAGTCAATTTTCTTCAAAAACTCTATTCCGACTGGCCTTTTTTGTTATTATTTTTTGACTTTTTTCCGTTCAGAATTTTTTATCAGACCATGCAGAAAAAATGATTCTAATTTGAAGAAAAAAAAGTTTTTTAAAATACTTTTCTAAGACTGTGGTCGGAACATTCTGTGCTACTTGCACAGTAGCCGGCTATCCTTGTTTAAATTATTGATTTGTCGATTCATTTGCTTGTAATCATAGTTATGCATTTTGCATTGCTAGTGGCGCGAAGCTCCGCTTAACATCTGTGTTAATTTTTATCTTTCTTTTTCCATGTTTTGTTTGACTGGGCCTTGAAAGCGCTTTGTATTTTCGTGTTTTTTGCCAATCCAGATTTCGCAAAAACTTTTCTTACAGTGTTGAGAAAGAGTTTTAACGGAATGCGAAATCAGTTATTTGCGTATGTTTTGTTTTGGTCGAAAAAGAAAAGATTGGCGCTCAGCAAAACTGCTCAGTTTCAGAACTTGTATGCTGTTATAATTCTAATTCTATTTGCCAATGTAAAAACTTGCGTTTTATCTACTTTGATGGCAGCTGGCTTTGAGAAAACAATTAGGTGTAATGGCTGATGAACTAACTAGTGATACAAACTGCTGGATGTGAATTTACACGAATTTATACGATCAAAATTTTATGATGAAACGGTTTGAAAATAAAGTGTTTGGAATTGAAAATCTCGTTTTGTTCACTGACGAACCGTCTCGTTTGATGTGTTTCTCAACTTTTTGTTGAATTGATTTGGTTCCTCTGCGCTCAATGTGTCGGAGTCTTAGTCTCAGAAGCAAACATTTTTCAGAACTGTTTTTTTTTTCAACTCGGCCATCTTGTGCGTAAAATTGTTTAAAATCGAAAAAAATGAAACCCATTTTTTCCGCTGTCTACACATTCGGATCTGGAGTTCCTTGCTTCCTATAGAAACAAATTGAATTGCCTTCAAAATATGGACTACTTCTGAGAGCTAGATATTTATTAATTAATCATAGTATATCGGTTTTCTCAAGCCCAGCTTGTATTGCGATGCAATTTTTTCCTTTAAATGTTGAAACATGACTGCTTGTATCAAGGCTGAACCCGGAGTGTTACGGCTGTCCTTTAATGCTGACGAAAAGTTATTTGATCGGATAGTTTATTATAAAAGGTTGACTAAAATGATTTTTTTCTATCACCCACGAGCTATGGGAAAGTTCAAAGTAAGTAATGTTTTTTTTGACCGGGTAACGTAATAATAACAGCAAATTACCATTGCTCACTTTATTTTATAATAATACCGTTGGCATTTTCACTCACGCTGTAATAGGATAAATTGTATGGCCCATTAATTTTTTCAATTTGAGTTAAAGTAGGCAACGTAACCCCCAATTCCAAACCACTAGCTTTGTAAAAAAAGACAACAGGTGAAAATAGCTTGTTTTGTACATTATTTAGTCAGCTTGCAAACTATTTGCCTTACCGTAGCACCTTCAAAGAACGCTGTTTTTTTTCTGTTAAGCCACGTTCTCATAATTTTTGGACTCTCCTTTGCTTTTTGTTCCGATTTTTCAAGAAAGTGACCAAATATTTATACTCGGGATTTTTTTTCAAATATCGAAACTAAAAGTCGGCTTTTTAGCTAGGTAACTTTGACAGAATTGTTTTGTGCCATCTGAGAGGCATGGATGTACCGAGTTAAAGAGCTCAAATTATTTAACTGCGAACTTTTTTGTCAAGTTATGGTTGTTTGAAAATTGTCAGTTCGGGATAATAAACGTTTCAAGCATCAGCGGCGAAATAAATCAATCTTAATAATAGCATTTTTTCTTTAAATCGATCTTAAAAATAGCATAAAATGCATAAAAATATCATTTTGTACTTTTCATCCAAAATCTGTACTCAACGTCAAAAAAAATCGTATTGTTTCCAACGTAAATTCACAAAACCTACTTAAAAATTCACCAAAATCTTAGCCAAAATTTTCTGGTCGACTTTAGAAGACTGCTAGAGCGTTCATGGCTTCACTTTGATACAATTTTTCTTGTTTTTCCGACTTTCGAAGATGGAATATTTGTGTTTTTCCCATTTGCCAAATTGGGGACATTTAACGCGCGATGTGATTTATTATATTAAGGCCTGCGCGGAGATTTAATCTGGCTCAAATTGTTCGGACTTGATTCGGAGAAAGCTATATGGAATTATCAATATGTTGCAAGACTTTATTTGCAGAAAAGTGTAATTTACATTCATACTTTTTTATGGTTTTTTGACCTAATATCAGTTTTCAAATTCTTAAAAAGTTGAATTATTCTTTGGATATTGAGGAAAGGACGGAACATTCAGGGCTTGCCCTGATTCAAGAAGTTTTGTTGTTCCGACTTTCAACGAAAGTGACGGAATATTTTTGTTCAGTGTTGTTTTTTTATCCAGACAAGTTTTGACTTTGTAAGTAACGGTTTTTGACGGAATTTTTGTCTCATTCGAAAGGTATTGTTATCCTGAGCTCAAATTTAAAAAGATGTTTCGCCTGAATATAGGACAAGTAAGGCGCGGTACTTTTCGTGCTATTAATGCGTAAGTGGAGATTTAATCCGTCTTAGAAAGCATTCCAAAGTTTTTAAGAACATGCCATTTGTTCTATTTAATATATCGCTCTATGCGAAGTATATCGCTTTCTACTTAACTTAGCGTGTGGGGGGATGGTTTCCCAAAAAATGAAAAGTTTTTTATCACTGTTAATGATTTTTGATCAAACGTTTAGACCTTAAAAGGCTGTCGGAACATTCAGGCCTTTGCCCTGATTCGAGCTATCCTGTTTGGTTTTGTGTTCAAAGTACTGCTTCTGTGTTGAAAAGCTTTTAGTTTGAATCATGTAGTCTTATGTTTTACAACGAACTACTATAAAATTTTCTCTACGAACACTTGCCAATGCCTTTCGTGATTTTTTGCTTACAATTTTTTGTAAATATCTGTAATATAAAGCGAATCGATTTTAGATTTATTGACTATGAACACCTTGTTGATATAAAAAAATGACTCTGGCAATCTCTCTTATACCTCTATCACCAGCAAAATCCGAAAAATCCAAGTTGATAAAATTTGATCTTCAACTACTAAACACTAGCTCTAACTCTGCACAAGATGATTCGAAGTCACAATTTGTAATTGGTCGTAACCGTACTTGCGAAATTAAAGATTCAAGAATAAGTCGTCAACATGCAAGAATCTTCACTGAAACGAACTTGTCTACAGTTAAATCTGAAGTGTTTTTCTCGACTTTGGGAAAGCTTCCTTGTTTGGTTAATGACTGTCAAGTGAAAGCGAATGAAAAGGTGAGGTTAAATAATGGAGATAATATAAGTTTGTTACCCTCGGAATTTAAGTATCAAGTTGAAATCCGGACTGAAATTGATGATCCTCTGTTAACTTCGAAAATGGTACCATCTATCCACGAGAAATCAGAGTCTTCAATAAATGAAGTACAGCAAGGTAAAGAGACTAGTTCATTAACGTCAACGAGTTCTGTTGACCTGAAAAAAGAGTCAAATGAAACTGGGTCAAACGAGGTCAAACTACCGAAGGCTTCTAACGAATCAAACAAAGATGCAAAAACATCGAGCGATCAAATAACTCGAGAAAGTTCTTCGCATGGATTAGAAAAAAGTTTCAAGAAGAGAGCTTGCACTTCGCTTATGGATTACTTCAGCACGTCGCCTGAAAAGTCTAAACAGGATGCGAAAAGGGTCAAAGTTTCAGAGGAGACTGGATTGGAAGTTACTAAAACAGGTGAGACATGAATTAAGGCATAAGAAAAAGAATGGACTTAATTACCCTTGCGATAAGCAAGGGTGTTGTAACCGGGTACTGGATTTTTCCCCGGGAATATTTTGTTCATCACGTGAAAGTGTTTCAACTTGATGCAAAACAAATTCAACCGTACAGGTTATCGGACGTAGAGGTAACACATCTGCTTGAGACGACAAAGGTTCGTGGTTTGCATCCGGCCGTGATCTGCTTTTTTTGGTAACGAGATTTTTTTGCCTTTTCGTACTATCGTACGTCTGTTTGATTCTGTCGGCTTATTTCTAGTAGACCGACTCTTTTTGAACCTTCAGCTTCCTTTAAAGTTAATGAGTGTATTTTCTAAAGCCCCGTTGGTAGAGATAATTGACTAACAAGATTTTCTGAGAAATTGAAGTTCTGTTTTTCTTTTGAAAAGTTTCAAATAATTTTTTTTTTAAATTTTTTTTACAGAGTTTTTACGCATGCGATAATTATTCTAGCAACTAGCAAGCGTTATCAATCTTAAACATCTCCCATTTTGGTTTTTTTCTTGCAGACAACTTGTCCATTAGAATCACTGAATCAATTTCTCAAATCTGCCAATTTTTTTAAAAACTTTTTTGTAATATCGTTCGTCTGTTTGATTCTATCGGCCTTTTTCTAGTAGACCGACTCTTTTTTGAACGTTCAGCTTTCCTTAAAATTATTAAGTGCTTTTTCATAAGCCCCGTTGATAGAATTAATTGAATAACAAGTATTTTTTTTTTTTTGAAAAGTTTCCAATCATTTTTTAAAATTTTTTTATAGAATTTTCACTGATTTAAAAAATATCCGATAAACAGAATTTTTCACGCATGCGATAATTTTGCTCACAACTAATATCAGTTCGAAACATCTCTCAATTTGGAGTTTTTCTTATCGAAAACTTGTCATGCAGAATCACTGAATCATTTTCTCAAATCTGCGCAGTTTTTCCTTTTTTATGATTATCGTGTCTGTTTGATTCTTTCGGCTTATTTCTAGTGGACCGATTCTTTTTGAATGTTCAGCTTTCTTCAAAACTAATGAGTGCTTTTTCGAAAGCCCCATTGGTAGGGGTTATTCAGCAACAAGATTCTCTGGGAAGCTTTAGTTTTTTTTGAACTATCGTCCGTCTGTTTGGTTCTGTCGGCTTATTTCTAGTAGACCGACTCTTCCTGATCGTTCAACTTTCTTCAAAACTAATGAGTGCTTTTTCGAAAGCTCCATTGGCAGACGTAATTGAATGACAGGATGTTCTGAGAAGTTTTAATTTTGTTTTTATTTGAACAGTTTAAAATAAAATTTTCAATTTTTGTTTTGGAATTTTAATTGATTTAGAAAAATTATATATAACAGAATGTTTTCGCATGCGATAGTTGTGCATGCGAGTAGCAAGCGTTATCAATTCGCACATCTTCTAATTCGGACTTTTTCTTGCAGACAACTTGTCCAGCAGAATCACTGAATCATTTTCTCAAATCTGCCCTTTCGGCAAGCAACAGACATATTTTGATCATGTCTGCAGATCAAATTACAATTTTGTTTTGAATTTCTTTAATGTTGGTTTTAGTTTTTTCAACTTCAATTTCTGATTTTTTTTACTTGCTAGGCTGAGTGGCCTCATATTACGCCGTTAGATGTGAAAAACTAGTTATGATATTTTAGTATTTTAATTTTTTTGATAACATTTGTTTTGGCTGAACGGGTGTCTGCGTAAAAATTGTCGGCTTCGTCTTGGCTTTGTAAGCTTTGTTTCGATGAAATTTTTCTTTTTTCTCATTCAAGGCAGATTGAGACAAAGATTTCGTCTCAATTTGTGACTGCTAGTTTGTCATGCTATGTTCGTGTTGCATCGTAAGTGGTGCGAATCTCTGTAGAGCCTCTGTGTTAAGATGCTTATTCCGACCACGTCACGAAGTGGAAAGCAACTTAAACTAGCTCGTTTTTTTGGCTACTCACGATTTTGGTTACCTCAACGAAATTTCGGAGAGGGTGGAGTGTGATATTATATTAGAGCACTTTCAGCCGAAATTCGAATCCCAAAAAAAAACAAATCATTTTTTAAAAATAAATGTGTCCCGGTCCAGAGAAAATTTGTCTCAGTTTCTGTGACTCTTGAATTTATCTCTTTTGATGGTCGTGGTCGAAACATTTTGTGCTAATTGCAGAAAAACCGCTGTTATGAATAGGCTCAACTAAGCACTATGGTCTCCCATTATAGACCTCCCAACAAATTACAGCCTCCATAATACCATAAAAGTATAATCTCCCAGATTGTGGTTATACTATCATGGATACTGTAATTTGGTGGGGGGCTGTAAAGATTGACCCTACAGTGTGATCAGAGTGAAACGAAGAAGAGGGGTGTGGGGGGTACACTACATTATTATAATCACAGTAAAAGGGGGGCTACACTGTGATTATACTGATATACAAATACAAGGGGCTATAATAGGAAAGAATCGTACTGTATTTGATAGCAGATCCTAATCACACGTCCACATTCGTCCTCACTGGAACATGGCAATCTATGGGCACCAGATACAACTCCGGTTTCTGTTACAAACCAACAAACATTCCAAAACTGCCTCAGAACCCCAAAATAGCCGCTTTTGATCTGGACGGAACTCTAATTACTACCAAGAGTGGCAAGAAATTTGCGATCAACGACGATGATTGGAAGTTGCTATATGGACCGAAAATCCAGAACAAGTTATTGGAATTGGTGAATGACGGGTTTATACTTGCAATTTTTACTAACCAGAATGGGATAAAAGTGGGAAAGGGAACAGAAGAAGGGTTCAAGAAGAAATGTGGGCAGATTTTGAATAGTTTGAAAATTGATGGTAAGTAATAATTTGTTTCGCGTCCAAATCTTTGCTCAAAATTTGATCCGATTTTATTCGAAAAAAATGGAATTTAAAATCTGGATAGAGTTGTGATCACGAATTTAATATATTTGTGGAAATTGAAATAATACTGCTAGTTTTTGATTTTTTCGAAAGTGGTTATCCCCTTTAAAGAGTTTTTTGTTCAGAAGGTTTTCATGATGATATGTTCATGGTTTTCATGTCATATGAAGCGCCCCTCTTGCTTAAAGTTACTAAATTTTGCAATAGAAACCGCATTTCTTTTCAGCTTTTGTGTTTGTTTCCATCCTGAAAGATATCTACAGAAAACCACGTCTTGGATGTTGGGACTTACTGTTCAGTATGCTTAATGAACACATTCAATCTCAAAGGAAAACTTCAGTTTCGACACTTGAATTGTAAGTTTCATTTGAATTGTAAGTTCTAAGTTTGGATCTTGGTAACAGTGGTTCAATATTGAAGAAAATCTAACTACTTACTAATAGCATATTAACTATTAATATCCAAAAATTATTATGAAGTTGAAAAATGATTTCATAGAAAAATGATTTCATGAGTTCATAGTCTGTTTGATCGAATGAAATTTTTGTGCGGTAAAATATTTAAATAATTTTTAAACGTACTTTTTTCATAAAAGGTTATTTTTCAGATTACATGGCTTAAAAGTTTTTATTTAGTTTTTTTTTCATGCTTTACAATTACTGTTTTGCTGCTGCTAAATTATTAATTTTGAAAAATACTAGTCGTAGTTTCGATCAAACATGGTTTTAAAATCCGTTGGCTACGAACACCATTAGGAGAGCTAATGAGGTCAAGCTGGCAAGGTTTCTGACATCAGCCGACCCCGAACATTTGGAAGTCATACACCTGAAACAAAATCACAATCAGAGGAATTGTCTTGTTTTTTCACAGAGGTTGCCTAAGTCTGTGGGAAGAAATTTTCAAATTAATCGTTTTCTCAAAGATAAGAAAAGTCAAATAAAAATTTTGTGTTTGGTCTACAAACTATCTTGTGCACCACAAAATCAGTCTAAATAAGTTGTCTTTTATGTTCAGGTTACTAGGTTGAATGAGTTTAGCTCACCTTAATTCCTTGTTACACAAGCCAACACTTGTGTCCAATTACGAGTTCATCAGAGCAGAAATTATGTGTTCTGCTCTGATTCTACTTGTATATGGCAATTGAATAGGTTGTATTTTATCCGTTCTTAAGAGGTATGCCTCAGTGGTGGAGTCATTAGACTAACATATCGGCCGGTGAGTCCTATTTCTGAAAACTTATTTACTTTTTTTGTATAATCCTACTGTTATGAAGCTCCTTTTTTCTATTTTTGCTTGCGTTTGCGAAGGGCAGCTTCGGCCTTGTGTCTGGTCTATGATGTAATTCAATTTGCGTATAGATAATGGCAATAGATTTTGAGACTTATGGCATGTTGAATACCCTTTATATTCTGTTTTTTTTTTCTTCAAATTTTAATTCAAAAATTTATTTGTTTTTGTTTTTTATTTTATCTTGTTTTTTCGTTTGAAAAGTTTCGGCTGATTGATGTTTTTTTTGGCGTAGTGGCCTCATTTCGAGTCGTTTATGGGCAAAATAAGTTTTAACTAAATGATCTGAGGGGGATTTATGCTGAGTCATTACCCTTGCGAAAAGCAAGGGTTACAATCGGGACTGTTTTTTCCCGTAAACAAATTTCTCCACAGCATCTTCATTTCTAGAGGATCTTCACTTCTAGAAGATGTTTCACTTCAAATTTAAATGAAATTTTTATCACTTAGGAAGTAATTAGTTAAAGTCCTCTTACTAATTTCAGCTTGTACTTATGTTTTCGAAAAAAAACTTATATTTTTCGGGTTCGTGGTTTTCGTCCTAGTTTCTGTCGATTAATTTTCCGTTTTTTTAAACGCAATTTTTAAAAATCTGGTTGCATTTTATTATCCTATTTATTATCCTATTAAATTGACCTTTCTGTGATCAAAATTGTTTACGCGGAAAAAAACTGAATAATTTTTGCATAAAAAAAAGTAGTGCAAAATATCAAGAAAATAATTTTGTGTAACTTTGGTTTCAACTGGATTTTTTCTGGTGATCTATAAATGAAAGCTCAAAAATAAGATTGAATAATTTTATTCTATTGCATTTTAGTTCCAAAATATCTCAGCGCTCAATTTCCCGAAAACCTCTTCATTGCTTAACACAAAGTAATTTTGATTGCTCTCCCCCTCTCTCTCTCTCTACTCTCGCTCTCGTTTGCTAAGTTTAATTGTAAATGAGTTAATTGACTTGTAGATGCTAGAAGGCTCTTTTTCCTCCTCAGCCTCACCTGAGTATCAAATTTATGGTGAAAATGAGTGGTTTTACAAGGTTAAGTATGAAGACCGAATATGTTTGTCATGGGCTTATTAGTCAGCTCGCCAGTTTTTGAAATAATCAGATCATGTTAACAACAGACTGAGGCAAAAATTTGCAGGTGTGGTCAAAGGAAAAACAGCCCAGAAAGCTCGTTATTATAGTATGTATTTTAAACTTAGAGTATCTCTAACTTGTAGTAGTTGTTGGACTCTTCGATGCTGATGTCCTTGTAATGGTTCTTGATATGCTTGTCCAGACATGAGTGGTATGCACCCACCAGATCCTGCTCATTGCACCCCCCTATGTCCCCCCTCACTCCAGTGTACGTGTTAGGGTCTGCTGGGTTCTCACTGTACAAACAAGCACTGCTTTAATTTGAGTTTAAAAGATAGTTATTGAATAATAACCAAAAAAGAGTTAAAGAAATGGCGCCTTTTGGTCATTGTACGTCAAATCACACAAGCAGATAACCGGCCAATAAAAACCAGGTGGGTGCAAAGACATCTTTTTCTCTCTCTCTCTCTCTCTCTCTCTCTCTCTGTGTGTGTGTCTTTCTTTGGTTGCGAATCCCAAAAAAACTGCAGCAAACACCACTTCACGTGAGATATATACCCTTTTTGCCGAATTGAAGCGCAGTGTAGCATATAGTCGTTTCCTTTGCGAGTTGTCGCTTTCCGAGTTCTCGAGTGGTCTTTTCAATCGGGTACTAGACTTTTTACCAGTAAATAACTTTTTTCACAGGACTCATGTAGACTCATTTCCTAGTAAATTCTGTTATCGACAAATTTACCGCAACAAATTTATCAACAAGACATATTTTTCGCAGGCTAGCATTTTAAATATCTGTCATAATCAAAATTTTTTCTATGTTGGTTGTAATTGTACTCAATTTGTTAAAACCTAATTTTTAATATATCGGCTTAGTGGCCTCATATTGCGTCGTTCGACGCGCGAAAAATGATTTTGTGTGCGTATGTGTTTTGAGGGTTAGGGTGACTTAATAACTTTTTAAAGTTATTTATCTCATCGAGTTTTTTTTGCTTAAAGGGTTTCTGCTAAGGTATTTTCGGCTTTTTGATCGCTTCTGTAAATTTTGTCCAGTGGTTTATTGCGAAATGTATTGTCTTGGCATATTTTTGTTTCCAAACTACCCTTATTCAATTTGGTAGATTTCGTTTTTCAGCATTTTCAATTTTTTGTCAACTTTGCGGCTTTCTTGTTTTGTATCGACAGTGTTGCGAAGCTCAGCTTGGCCTCTGTGTAAATATTTTTGTCTTTTTTGTTTTCGGCTTTGATGCCTGAATTTTTTGATGATTAATTTTTTACCCTTGCGATAGCAAGGTTATTACAATCGGGTACTAGACTTTTTTTTTACCTTAAACAACATTGTCCACAGATTTTAGCATGCGTGCAGTACACGAAATGCATGCAGTATGTGCGTCGTATATTTGCGCTCATTGGTCTATTACTCCTTCTGTGCATCCTTATCATTGTTACTTCAATAAATTCGCAGTTCAATTTTGTTAAACGAGGTTTTTTGATTTTTCGATTTCTTCGCTTTCAGTTTACTTTTTGTCGGCTTAGTTTCCGCTTTGTTTTTACCATCCAACTTAATCCATTGTTTGAAATTCAGTTTTTTGCTTTTACAATATTGTTGCTTTTTATATTCTGATTTTTCTGCTGTTTCGTTGTAATTTTCTAAACCTTGACATCGTATATATTTTTTTGTTGTTTTTTATTAAAAATTTTGTTCTGCCCAAATTATTTCGGCCGATATTTTATCGGCTAAGTGACCTTATTTCGAGTTGTTTCAATGGAATCTAGTTTTTTATCCTCTCTGTGGATTGAACAAAATGCTAAACATCTAAATAGAAATTACAATTCAAATTTTTCATGGCAACAATTTTTTCATCGCCTTTTTTTCTTTTTTTTTCGGCTTGATAGGTTTCGGCCTATATTATATCTGTCTGATAGATTTAATTTCATCATGGCTTTTGTTTGGGAAACGAACTATTTAAGGATAATGAATTTTTCAGTGGTGAAATTTTCATTTTGCAAATCTTTTAAGCAATTACCACTGTCTCTTTAAGATAGCTTAATGGGTACTTAAGGCATGATTATAACCTTTTAAGAGTAGTTTCAATTGTAAATGATGCTATTATTGCTCCAAAATATGTAATATGCCAAAACTAGCAATCAAAAAGTGAAAACTTTGTTTATCATTGAAAAGAGTTGACTGAATTAGTCATAATTAGCCTGATATTATTTACTTCATTAAATGTGCAGGGGATTTATCAACAAATTTTTGTATTCCAAATCAAAGTTATATCTTTTTTTTGTTCAAGTTTTCTCGACGCTTTATTCTAAGAAAAACTTCAATTGCTAAACAAATTGCTCGCTATTTGCACTACAACTATCAGCTTGCGTTTGTTAGTTAACCCGTTTTCTGTGTTTTTTTTTGCTGTGGGATATAACTCAATTGGTTTTTACGGAAGGATATTGCTCGGTAGTTTTCAGTGAACTTTTCTTTCGTTTTATGGCATTTTTACTTGGTTTTGACAGTTCTAATGTCAACAATTTGTGGTTGAACTGATAAAAAGTGTCAAAGCTCTTATCGCAAAAAAGTTGTCCTAAGGCAAAAAAAATTGTGTTCGATTTTAGTTTGTACCAATTGCTGCAAAACTTCTCTCTGATAAGCAAGTTTGACTCCTTCCCAATTTCATTTTTTGTCAAAATTAATTTTTGAACGCCAATTTAAATTGTAGTTTGGTTTTTCAAACGTCAATAAAACGTGTCGGCGTGAACCAGTGAACAGAGAACAGATTTGAACAACCTATCTTTCATTTCATGCAACTTGCAGTAAATATGAACCACTTAAGTTTTAATTTTTTTTCGAGGGGTGTGGGAAGAGCTGTAATTTTTTTTAACCGTTTGTCTAAAAACATTGAGGTTCAGGATTTTCTGTCTTTTCAAATTGTATTAACCTGCTTGAAGTATTTGAAGCTGCCCCAAAAAACTAAAACTAGTTAGTTTGCCTTTTTGTTTTTGATGGGCATGTTTACTGCTGTTCAAACTTAAAGATGTACTTTTGGTGATATGTTACAATTGGTGGTAATTTGAAAAATATTTGAGCAGTGCATGTATTAAAATTCAAACTCTTGTGCATAATATAGTCTTTTCATTTTCATTCATTTGTACTTGCTACTAAGATAGTGTTTGCATATAAATTACTCCGCCAGACAAAATGTTGTTCAAAAAGTTGAATTTTTTACTTCTTTTGCCAAAAAGTTGGCTTTGAAATAAATTACAAATACTATTCGTATAATAACAAAGAGCGATCCAGCCAATTAACTTGAATTTGCCACCTTTTGTATTATATTACTGTACTTTCTACCAATAGGCCCACAAGTTTAAGCTGCAAGAAGCTGCCGGTTAGAAAGCAGCTCTTGTTTAACAATTCGCCGCGATCTCGGTTTCAAAAATTCTTCGGCTCTTCTTTACTCTCCCCAAGCATTGCACATTTTTTGTTAAGTTTATGTGTGATCAAGAGCTGATCTAAGATTTTCTCGAGGGGGTGGCGGATTTAAAAAAAAAATTGAAAGTTTCGTCGACCCAAGATTTTCCCGAGCTCTCCCAAAGTATTAAAAAACCCTGTTTTGGTAAAATTTTCTGCGCCGCAGTCAAAATTTTGAAAAAAAAAACAGGCCAAAAAAGGCATTCAGGCCAAAAAACGCTCCCAGCTCAAAATTTGTGTACATTGGCGTCAAAGGCGCCTTTACACACTTTTTTAGGTTCCTTCACCAAGTATGGATGTCTCAAAATAGTACAAAGGGGGGTCGAATCCCTGAGGGGGGGGGGGGGGCGTCCCCCCTAAATCCGCCCCTGTGTGTGATGGTATGATGTAAAGTAAGAGAAAAAAATCTGTTCACAATAGTTAGCTTGGTCACCTGCGAAATTTCATCGCATTATGACAGTGTTAAAAAGGTTGTTCAAAAGTGAGTTTCAAATGTGGCGGGGATGTGGAAAAGAGTCGATTCTTCAGTTGAGAAACACTTATGCGCAAAAACATTTTGTCACGAATTTGACTCTCTCCCATTATGGCCCCCACGCCAGCATAGAAGTTTACAATATGTGGCCCGCCACAGTAGCGTCCTTGCATTATGGGGGAGGGGCTATCATTTGCAGTGGGGCTATTGGAGGAAAAATTCATAGATTTAAAAATCAAAAACTACATTGATATTGTAGCCTGTTTCACTTACTTTAGGTTGAACTGGTAATTAATGCTGCGTTTGCTGATTTTGTGAATGATCTCGTCCATTGATGGGACTAAAACATAACAAGGTCATGTCGGCTCTTTCCTATTAAAGTCCCTTCCCCAGTTTACAAAATTGAAAGGTTCGAGAGTGAAGGTGTTTATTTTAAACATGTTTTGTTGCGTATGTAAGACGGGAGCGCTTTTTCCTTTTCCTCTCCTACCTATAAATAAAAAATTAGTTTCCAAGTACACTTAACCAAATAAACAAATACACTTGGGAGAACGTCAAAGGCGTTTAGCCTGTCGAGTGACGCCTGAAGTTCAAAGATAATTATGCTAATCAATAAATCATAAAATGATTATGATTATTTTATTACACAAAAATGCCTCTCTAAATCCAAAAAAAAAAGCCCGCAAAACATTTTGTTTATTTACATTTACCGAGTTGATTGCAGTAGGCGAAAAAGAAAAGAAACACCTGATTAGTCCGCATACAATTTTTGTAACGATCCGATAATGTGAACAAAGTTTTACTAGTAAAGTTTCGCTGGTGGGGTTAAGGAAGAGCCGGCGGGAGGAAAGAAAAAAATCGTTAAACTCATATAAGCATTCTCAAATCGGACAGTAGAAAATTAGGCTTTTTTCCACCTTTTAAATTTTCTTTTATATATATAATTGTCGTACGTGATTTTTGCTGAATGCGTAAGATTACGATGTTAAGTATGAAAAGCAAATCTGATCACAATTCTTAATTTGTTCACCATGCCAAGTTCACCAAGCCAAATTTCATTACATAAATACAACGTTCAAGTTGTTTTTTTTTTATCTAGAATTTGAAAGGTTGGGGGAGTGGGGGGGGGGGGGGGGGTGGAAAAGATTCGAAGAGTTCTAACATCTGATCTCGTCTCCGTCCCCCCTGGCCAATCTCTCGATCATTCTGTCCCACTCGTCATGCTCATCGCTCTGCCCCTCCCCCCGGCTGTGTTTCCTCACTTGTTGGCCCTCCTCTTCCGGATGTTTCTTGGCCTCTGAGTTGTCCTCGTAGTTCCAAATGGCGTTCTTCATCGGGTCTTTGACTGCCTAGTAGACATGACTCAGAACTTGTTTTCCAGTGAGCAAAGACTCCGTTTAACTGTATATCATCTTGTAAAACCAATTATAATATTTCATCTTGTAAATCTAATTATAAAATCAAACTGGAATGTAGACTTTTTTACCCTTGCTATTAGCAAGCATTATCAAACAGGAATATAGATTTTTTTCGTTTAACAATTTGTTTAACAGAATCATTTGTATCTTGGCTCATAAATTCTATAAATTCCCGGTTAACTTAACCTGGAGGTAACGAATATGCCTGGGACGGCAAAGATCCGTTTTTTTTTCAAACGGAAAATATTTTGTGTCAGTTAATATTTTCGGCCAATTATTTGTCTTGAAATCGTTTTTTTTTATGCGCGAATTTTTCTATAATGTTGCTTCTAGTGTTTGATTTTCACCTACAGGTTGTAATTTAACTTAACTCACCTTCGTATTTCCTGCTTTGTTTTTTTTGTTTTGCTTTAAATTTTGGTCTTTTTTCATTTCGGCCTTTTTTTTTATAATTCTTAATGAATTAATTTGGGTCGTTTCAAGGGAAGCACAACTTGTGCACTCTCGCTCCGCACTTTTTATAGTGGTTGTATGTTTATGAATCGGTTTGTTGAAATTTTTTTTTATTATGGAAAATTATTTTCAAATTAATTGGCAAAATGTTAGATTTTTTTTCAGATTTTTCTTTGGATTTTCAAAAAAGAGTATCAATTGAAAGACCGCCTACTCCCCTGCGTGCCTGTATTTTCCCCTGGAGTCTCTTTCTACTTGACCCCTCTGTCTACAGCCTTCGAAAAAATCTGTAGGGGAATATTTGACCCATATTTTTGATTTTTTTTCGTGTTCTCGAAAAATAGCATTCTCAAATCCAAGTTTTTGGCTTCAATGAATAGAACTTTTTCAAAAATGTCCCTGCATGAGCGGCTACGCCCATTTTTTTACACATAAATTTATGGCCTTCGGAATAGTCAATTTTTTTTTGACCGTTTTTTGTAAAGTTTTTGACATTTCACGAGAACTACTAGATTTTGGGTTTTATGGGTTGAGTGAATCCCTTCTGCATACGCGGCTACGCCCCTTTTGTTAAACAAAAAGCTGTAATTCTCGGAAATAACAATTTTTTGGCTAGTTGACCGTTTTTTGGATTTTTTTCGCTTACTGTCATAGGTTTAATCGAAACAACAGGTTTTTGATATCCTACCTTTATAAATAGCTATGCCACTTTTTTAAAGAAAATTGTTATGGCCTTCAAACAAGTCGAAGTTCTGAAACTTTTACTTTTTTTGCAAACTTTTGGACTTTACACGAAAACAACCCGTGCCTATTCTCAGGTTGTGTTCAATGGAGAAACCCGGTTTTGGGAATCTTCTCTGCTTAAGCAGCCACAACATGCTCTCCGCAGGAAAAAGTCATGGATTTTGGAAATCCTTTAGACCGTTTTTTAGAATTTTTGACCGTTTTATAGGAAATTTTTAAAAACTTATTCAATCAAATCTGAGATGAAAAGTTCAACTTAAGGAACCGGTTGCGATAATGGTTCCTACAGAAGCGGCGGATTCTTAATTTTTGTAAGGGAAGTTTTATCTCCTTGGTAAACCTGTAAGGGAAATTTTATCTCCTTGGTGCCTATTCTCAGGTTGTGTTCAACGGAGAAACCCGGTTTTGGGAATCTTCTCTGCTTAAGCAGCCACAACATGCTCTCCGCAGGAAAAAGTCATGGATTTTGGAAATCCTTTAGACCGTTTTTTATAATTTTTGACCGTTTTATAGGAAATTTTTAAAAACTTATTCAATCAAATCTGAGATGAAAAGTTCAACTTAAGGAACCGGTTGCGATAATGGTTCCTACAGAAGCGGCGGATTCTTAATTTTTTTAAGGGAAGTTTTATCTCCTTGGTAAACCTGTAAGGGAAATTTTATCTCCTTGGTGCCTATTCTCAGGTTGTGTTCAACGGAGAAACCCGGTTTTGGGAATCTTCTCTGCTTAAGCAACCACAACATGCTCTCCGCAGGAAAAAGTCATGAATTTTGGAAATCCTTTTGACCGTTTTTTAGAATTTTGACCGTTTTATAGGAAATTTTTAAAAACTTATTCAATCAAATCTGAGATGAAAAGTTTAACTTAAGGGACCGGTTGCGATAATGGTTCCTGCAGAAGCGGCGGATTCTTAATTTTTGTAAGGGAAATTTTATCTCCTTGGTAAACCTGGTTATCTCAAAAAATTATACTCCTCTAACAGTAGAGAAACAACTCTCGTTTTGGGCAATGTCCAAATTTTGAAATGACATTTTTGTGCCGCATCAGTATACCAAATTCACTCAATATCAAACAAATACATCTAGCTTTAGATGGCCCCTAGTTGTTTTTAATCTAGACATACGAAAATTTTGGTTCACCTTGATTTTTTTACAATTGAAATTTTTTTGGACTTTTTTTATATTTGCAAACTTCGCATTGCCGCTTTGTAAAAGTATATATTTTTTGATCTTTTGATATGAAAGTAACTTTAAAATCAGTAAAAATCCGTCTCTTGTTTTGTTGTTAATACTTCGATTGCTTTCAACTTCAAGGGCAGACGGTTAGTGGGCCAGCAGGTCCCGTTGTTTATCCAACCTTGTATTTGATAATATTTTGTTGATGTATTTGTTTATACATGGAAAAAGTAATTCTTTCTTACACGGCTAAATGGATGATATTGCTATGTAAAGCGGTCCAATGTGGGGGCTCTTTTCCAATTCCCTTCTTTCAAAATACCGAGTTTTATGTTTGTTTTACGTGTTATTATGGCTAAATGCGTGATGTTACGCTGTAAAGTATGAAGAACAAATCTGTTCACAGTTGTCGATTTTTTCACCATGCCAAATTTCATTGCATTATGACAACGTTAAATAAGCTTTTCAAATTTGAATTTGAAAGGAAAAACTGGAAAAGAGCCAATGTGGGGTAAGAGAGTAAAAAAGATCCCAATGCTGCCATCAGCAACCCATAAAATAAGTGAATCTTGTTTTTTGGATTGATAGCTTAATGGGTGGCAATAACGCGCAAGAAGAGCTCATTGTATATCCTCTGAATGTAAAATTATAATAGTTGAGTCCCAGAAAAAAAGCTAGTATGGAAGGTGAATCCCGTAATTTCTGAGAAAAGTTCTAAAACACAATCAAATAGTTCCCAACCATGTTTTCGGAGATATTAAGACCTAAAAGCATTGAGGCTCTTTTCCAGTTTTCCCCATTTGAAAATACCGAGTCTTATGTTTGTTTTAGGTGTGATTACGGCTAAAAGCGTGATATTACTTGTATATGGTTGTACAGTGCTGATTTAAATTAACCGGACAAAACGCGTTTTTCTCAAATTGGGTTAAGTTTAGGTGAAAACTTATGAAACGCGTTTTTCTCAAATTGGGTTAAGTTTAGGTGAAAACCTATGAAGACAAGAGTTGCTTAAAATTTTAGCAGAATTAATACGATCTAATTTGTTTTGCAAAATTCGGGCCCAAAATTTTACCCAAAAATTGGTCATTTTGGCTTTTTTAGTTAATCAAAAATTACACCAAAAATAACCAGTCGATCGCAGACATAAATATATTAAAGTGAGCCCCTTACAAAGCCCAACAAACTTTAAGCAGGGCATAACCTCCAAAAAAATTTGCAAATTGTTTAAAAATTCTTTTTAAATAAAAAGTTGGTATTTTATATAGTAAAAACGACCTTTTTTGTCTTTCAAACAAAAATAAAATATTTTAAACTATTTTTTGGAGGTTATGCCCTTCTGAAAGTTTGTTGGGCTACGTAAGGGGCTCACTTTGATATAATTATGTCTGTGATCGACTGGTAATTTTTGGCGTAATTTTTGATTAACTAAAAAAAGCCAAAATGACCCATTTTGGAGGAGTATTGTTCAAATTACCGTGTGAACAATTTGCGAACAGCTTTTTTTTGTAATTTTACGAGGAGGGTTGGAAACTTTAAAAGAGCCGCCGTCAATTTCAAATCCAATGTGTTACATTTTGAAGTTTTTCTAAATCAAAAATCTCGTCAAAAGCAAATGATCGAAATTATACAACAAAATGGAAAAAGGGTCGTTTCCACCAGCTAATATCTTTAGCATGTGAAACTTACCGGTTGTTTTGCAATGGCTATTATCTAATTCCGAACACATTTGCTCTTCATGTACGACCTTTTAAAATTAGTGGTTCATGCATAAAACCTTTTTTCTCGGTGGTTAGAGTAAAGATATTAAAGCTCGGGGTAAATAATTGTCATTTTTGTTCTTCTACCCTCATTTTTGCTCCCCCCCCCCTACCTCACATAAGCATCAATTTTATGGTGTAACGAGGGGTTTTACAAGGTTAAATATGAGGACCAAATATGGTTGTCATAGCCTACTTAGTTCGCATGCCAACTTTTGTGACAATCGGTCAACTTAACAAAGTTTCACTTGTAAGATTTTGCAGATGGGGGAAATGGAAAAAGAGCTGCAATTTTTTTCTTTTTCAGGTTCGAAATTGACCATCTTACCTGCCACTTTAAGTCCCATTTCGATAAGTTTCCAATTGGGTTCGTTAACTGTCCCCTCACTGTTTCTAGTGCTTTATATTCAAATTCTCGTTGTATGCAAATTTACCATTAACAATGAGAAATTAATTCTTTCTTTCTTTCGTACGCTGTAAAGTATGAAGAACAATTCTGTTCACAGTTGTCGATTTGTTCACGCCTAATTTTTTTGCATTATGACAACGTTAAATATACTTTTCAAAATTGAATTTGAAAGGGGGACTGAAAAAGAGCCGCTTTGAGGGACCGAACTATCATACTTGTACCCTTTTAAAATGGGAAACTGGAATAGAGTTATAAGTAGTGAGTCATCTGCCTCAGCTTTGTCCAGAGTGATGTTGGCTATCTTGGTCTTGTACTGCTTCCCACTCAGAGATGGTGGGATGGTTGTCAGGAGCAGAAGCGAAGTGGTCGAAAGGGCAAATGCTAAAATGAGCTCATTTATGAATTTTACGGTTTATCAAGGCTCTTTTCCAGCTCCCCCTTTGGTTTTTCCTGAATTTCAATATATGAAAGTCTTTTTTCAATGATTTTTCATGTTATAAACTGCATTAAAATGTGTCAGCTTGAACAGGTGAACAAACTTTTACAACACTTCTTACATGCAAATTAAGAAGTTTTGCAATGGCTATTATCTAATTCCGAACACATTTGCTCTTCATGTACGACCTTTTAAAATTAGTGGTTCATGCATAAAACCTTTTTTTCTCGGTGGTTAGAGTAAAGATATTAAAGCTCGGGGTAAATAATTGTCATTTTTGTTCTTCTACCCTCATTTTTGCTCCCCCCCCCCCCTACCTCACATAAGCATCAATTTTATGGTGTAACGAGGGGTTTTACAAGGTTAAATATGAGGACCAAATATGGTTGTCATAGCCTACTTAGTTCGCATGCCAACTTTTGTGACAATCGGTCAACTTAACAAAGTTTCACTTGTAAGATTTTGCAGATGGGGGAAATGGAAAAAGAGCTGCAATTTTTTTCTTTTTCAGGTTCGAAATTGACCATCTTACCTGCCACTTTAAGTCCCATTTCGATAAGTTTCTAAAAGATACAATAGCTATGATATATAAGCGGAGTTTTGCTGTTTTTACTGATGATAGAGTTCGGCACGTGCTTTCTGCAACTTAGTTCAGAGGAAATAATAGTTTCGAGATAAGAATAGCTTGTGCTCATAAAGGCCAAATTGCATTGAAATCATATGTTGACTAGCGGGCAATTAATAGAACCCCCCAGCCAGTATTAGTAAAATTTACAACCAAATTTCGGTTTTCTTTTGGTTCTTTAACGTAATTTATTCCAATCATGGAAAGAGCCTTCTCACTGCAGGCATCTTAACGTAAGATTTTTCCAAAGTGGCGCGTTTTCAAAGAATTTTCAAGATTCTGACGACATTTTTTGTAGGCTGACCGAATTGATGTTCCGAGCTCTTCCAAAACTATAAAGTTCCAATGAATCTACAATTTCATTTTTCTGTTTTTCATAATTTAATTTTTTCAATCATATTGGAAAGTGGAAAAAAACATAAATACATTATCAATTTTTGTACCTCTTTTTAAATATCTGGATGAGTTTTGTCTGAAATATTTGATTAGTATTGTTTTGTTGGTTTGGTTTGATTTTTGCTTTTTGGTTATTTGTTCAAAATTTTTGATTAAACAGTTTCGGCTCTGCCTTTCCCCCACCTTTTATTTTTCTTTTTTAAAATTGTTTTTTACATATTATTATAGCTAAATGAGTGACGATTAAAATATGAAGAACAAATCTGTTCTTAATTGTTAGTTTGTCACCATGCCAAGTTTCAATGCATTGTTGTAACAACGTTAAAATAGTTTTAACAAATGAAATTAAAGGTGGAAGGGGACGTGTTAAATAACCACAGTTTCAATTCTACTTAAAATTGAGATTAATATGCCATGATCAGGTGGCAATTATCAGATCGATGTTTTTCAAATTATGTAGTTTATTGTTTTCCACGTAAAGAACACTTTTTCTGCATAAACAACTTTGCTGACAGAGTTCGCCTGTGAGATGTAACGTGGTTCATACTAATATCAAATTCTAAGAAAGTTTGTGCACATTTAGCTTTGAGTTAACACCCATGCTTGGCTCATTTAAAGGTTCTGGGCTCGATTCCGGACAGGATTCTATTTTTCTGAAAATTTGACTAATAATTGACTAATGAAATTTGACTGATCGAAAAATTTATTTTTCTGGCTACCGTTTTGCTATCTATTTCATCGGCTTACTTTCCAAAGTAAGTCAATAAAATAAACTTTTTGGCTTAAGCAATTTTTTTTGAAATTCTTTTCATTTAATTCTTGCAAATTATAAAATTGCCGGCTATGATTTTGTTTATAATTGCCTCCTATTGTTTCGCCTAAAAGCTTTCTTCTGCTATCGTTTTCGATGCTCGACAAAGGACGTTTGATAGGCGAAAACGTTTTTTTTTGTGTCTGAGCTGCCAGATTAATATTTTTTTTTCACTGCTAGTTTAACACTAATAACTGTGTTTTTGGGCATTTTGTTTTTTCATGTTGTGAACTTCACTCGAGAGAAACGAATGAAGTTGATGGTTGATATTGTTTGTTTCATTTTCGTTCGTCTTTGTTTCTTTCGACTAGCTTCTGTGCTTTTTTTGTACTGCAAATGGCATGAAGCTCGTTTTTAAAAGCTTTGTTGTTTGATTTTGTTGTGGTTTTCATGAGGAAAGTATCAATTTTTTATTGACGCTCACTTTAAGTTTATTCTCTGGTTTTTTTTTTCCGGTTTACATTCCAATTCATTTTGCAAATTGAAATTACGAGGGGCTCTAAAACAGCAAAATGAGAGTGGCGAAAAAGTAAAGCTTGTTTTTTTCCAATTGTTTGTACCGTTGTTGCTTTTTTCATTGGAATGGGTAAACAAGTCGGAAACTAGACTCTTTTTTGTCTTAACATAACCTTTCTTCCAGCTGACAATTGTCATTGCTTTTGCTTTTTCTACTTATGAACTTTTTGTTGCATACTTTTTTCTGAGTAGGTTTGTTTCAAAATCCATTATGTTTGAAGTTCGTTTTTCGTGTTGGTTCTAAATTTGCCAAAAGGGTTGTTTTTGTTCTTAAATGTTGAGTAATCTGTTCGGTACGAACAGATTTTTTTCAGTCATTGGAAGACATAAAATGAAATACACGTACCGAACACTCGAGCTTCTAAATTCTTTGTTTTGAAGTTTTTGTATTATGTAACTGCTCGGAGTTTTTTTGGCTTAAGTAATTAAGATTTGTTGGTTTTCTTTCAGCATATTATTGTTTTCATGTTTTTATGTTTTTTTTCAGCTTATTAGATTTCATATCATTTTTCTGTCAGTAATTCCCGTTTGAAAAGCTTAGCGGTTCTTGTACTAATTGCTGGGCCTTACTGTCGAGTTTTCAAAATCCCTTTATAATTAGAATTTTGAAGGCTTTAACAGCAGCAAGTGCTTTTGACTTAACTACCGAAATTGTTTTAATTTCAGTAGTCAGTATTTTAAGAATTTTTTTCAGGTGAATAGTTTTCGTCAAATCGTTTTGCTCCGAATTTTAATGAAGCAAGGAAAGGAGCCTTTCGAAAACATCTGAAAAAAGCCGAATTTTTTCTAGATATGCTTGATGAAATGATTCAATAAGTTACCCAAGTACGGTTCTACAGTTCATAGGCTTCTTTATTAAAATAAGTTATGAATTGTTATTGTTATTGCTATGTTATTGCTATAAGAATTGTTTTTCTTAAAACCTGTTTTATCTAGATTTTTGCAGTGTAGCGGCTTTTGTTCCGACCTTTAAAAGTGTAGAGGAACTTTCTCTTCGGTTGCGTTTCTCTTTTTCGACGCAAAACCAACTACTTCAAAGAAGAATCAGAATGGGTTGACTAATATATCATATAAATGCCCTTTCAGTCGTGATTCAAGCAACAGTAAGATTTTTCAGTGTCGAGAAAAACTGGTTAGAAATTTTGTCTAATTTCGAGCAAATAAAGCGAGCGACCAGGCTTATTATAGAGAAGACATTCATTTTAACCGCAAAAGCTGAGTTTTACTCCAGTCATTTTAGTGTTTGAATTTTGTTTCTACGTCGTCCTCGGAATGAAAATATTTTTAAAGTAAGTCGAAAAAAAAGCTGCAGAATTTTTAAATTGTTTCAATTTTTATGTTTATTCTTCATTTTTTGAAGAAAGCTGTTGTCTTATGTGTCTAATTTACGTTGACTTTCGAAATTTTGTTGAGATCCCCTCATCACACCACGGACAACAAACGAATTAATTTGAATGTTTTCATGGTGGCAGTATTGCACGGCAACCGGCAATTCTTGTTTCACATAAGCTATTTTGTTTTGAACAAGGGCATGTTTTTGTTTTGTAAGTACTGCAAAGCTCCTCGTCTATTTGTTCTTGTTTATGCTCGTTTGTTTGTTGAAGAAGAGTTTCTTCCAGTGATGTATATATTTGGAGGTTCAAACGGAACTCTGTCGAAAGCAAAGGGCTAAAAATAAACAAGAGCAATACGTTTTTTTAGCCCTTTGCTTTCGACAGAGTTCCGTTTGAACCCCCAAATATTTACATCACTGGAAGAAACTCTTCTTCAATAAATAAACGAACATAAACAAGAAGTTCTTGTTTATGTTCGACAGAGTTCTTGTTTATGTTCGACAGAGTTCTTGTGTATGTTCGTTTGTTTGTTGAAGAAGAGTTTCTTCCAGTGATGTATATATTTGGTGGTTCAAACGGAACTCTGTCGAAAGCAAAGGGCTAAAAATAAACAAGAGCAATACGTTTTTTTTAGCCCTTTGCTTTTGACAGAGTTCCGTTTGTTCTTGTTTATGTTCGTTTGTAATTTCCCATATTTCTAATTTCCCATATTTGTAATTTTGCATCGACGTCTAAATTCGTTTTTATTGGTCACGTCTAATTTGCTTTTCGTCTATTTTCCTAGGCCCCATATATTTAGCTATTATTAATGGAAAAGTCATTTCTGATGTTAATTATAGGTGTGACTACAAAACTTTCCTTCTTTGTTGGAGATGCAGCGGGTCGTCCGGCCAACCCCATGACAGGAAAAGCGAAGGACTTCAAGTGTACTGACAGATTATTTGCCATAAATGCCGGACTCACTTTCTACACACCCGAAGAGTTCTTTCTATCTGCTAAACGAGACGACCAATTCAAGCAAGTGACCCCAATCTCTTCTATTTTAAAGCGTATAGTTGTTTTCTTATTATGGACTGTTGCATAAATTAAACTAATTTAAGTTATAAGTTTTGAAGTTTTGAGCGTCTTTATGAAGTTGCCTTGGTGGTTTTTTTTCCTATTTCACGCTGAAATTTCATATCTAAAATTTTTTGATCAGTGGATTATCAAAAATTAAATTGTGGTGATGCCCGAACGATTAATGCTAATTACATTTGCTATACGTCAAAACCGTGAAGTGCAAAATCAGACTGTAAATTGTTTTCTATTTAGTCTTCCAGAGTTCAATCCTCGTGTTTGTGTCGAGTCGGCTCCGACTGAACTACCCGAGAATTGTCTTCCGAGACATAAAAATGAAATTGTGCTACTAGTCGGCTATCCGGGGTCAGGAAAATCCACTTTGTCGCAATTATTTGAGGTAATAATTTTCAGTTTTGCTTTTTTGACGCCGGGTACTAGGTTTAAATTTGAGCTAATTTAATAATCGGAGTAGTCCTTTTGAGATACTTTTCAGAGGTCGAAGGGTTTATCTCATACAATCACGGGTCAAATAGGTCGCTAGTTTCCGTTCTCAACCGAGGCATTTGAACGAAATTTTATTAAAGATAAAATTGTATAAATATGATTGAAAAAATTCATCTCTTATTGTGTTTTTTGTCAAATTTTATAAAATTTAGTTTAAAAAATCCTCGAACATAGCAATGTTTTCGAATGCGACTAACTAGAGTTGTCAGATTTGAATCTCTAAATGCTCAATTTTTGGAGGTCCAGTTAATGACTTTTAAAGGGAATCAGATGTCATTAGTCTTAGCGACCATCTTTAGTTCAGGGTTGCAGAGAAGTGATTGCCTGTAGTACCAATACTGGTTTGGGATAGTTAATTCCGAGAGCTTTGAAGCAAATTTATAGGATGGGAGTTAACATGGTTGAGAGAAGATGAATTAATATTTGCGTATAGAACTGCTGGTACTCATTTAGAAATATGGTCCCGTTAAAAAACCTCGTTTAGAAGTATGGTCCTGTTAAAACCTCGTTAGAAGTATGGCCCCGTTTAAAACCTCGTTTAGAAAAAATGTCCCGTTAAAAATCTCGCTTAGAAGTATGGCCCCGTTAAAAACCTCGCATAGAAGTAAGGTCCCGTAAAAACTACCAATGGTCCTGTATAAAAGTCAGAAAAAGTTTAATAAGGGAACTTCCCAAGTTTTGCCAGTGAGTTGATGTTTTTGATAGTTCCATTTTTGAAGAAAATTATATTTGCAAATCTAACGAAGAGGACGTTAACAATTTATCCGTTTGTTTTCATCCATTTGAAGTACTTCAATTATATTTCATGTGGTGTAGCGGTACTCTCGAAAATGGCAGGACCATACTTCTGAACGAGTACCAAAATGCTTAAAAAGGAAATAGTCGTGTAATTATCTCACATATTTATATTATAGTTTTTTGTCCGTGTGTTTGTAATTGTGTGTGTGTGTGTGTTTGTGTGGCCGTATGTGTTTGTGTGTGTTTGTTCTTGTGTGTGTGGGTTGGTGCGTGTGAGTGTGTGTTTGTGTGTCCTAATTATATGTGTGTCTCAGTGTTTGTGTTCGCGTGTATGTGTGTTTGTGTTTTGTATTCGTGGGGATGGATTAGTTTGTTACTCTGCTCCTAAACGACTAAAAACTTTGCGCTCTTTTTCTACAAGATGGTTTTTTAAACACGTTATTGTCTGCTGGCGAATTTAAATTGTTTTGAAATAAGGGCCCTAACAATCACTGTTTTTGAAACTTTCTGAAGCACTAATTTGAAGATAGTTGATATGCTTCAAATTTTTTTAGCACATGTTTTTGTGTAAACATAGATTACTTTAGCATATGTTTTTGTGTAAACATTTCTAGCACATGTTTTGGTGTTAACATGGGTTCCTTTTTGAATTTGCTTCCTCATTGAATTATCAAACCAAATATCATGAAAAGTTATCAAGTATCAGTCTGATTTTTTATGCTTAGTTTGTAGAACTTTAAGTGTCTTTAACAATAAAGCTTTTCCAACCTTAATTACACCTGCGAGTTTTAGCGAGCGTAGTGTAATAGCACTACTTTTGTTTTTCCCAACCTAATTATTGGCCCTGCTTTCACAAATATTGGTCCTATTTTTGGGGCACATTCATTTTTGATTTATCAAGTTAACCGAAAAACGCTATTTGTTTTAAACAACGGTACTATAATAAAAACTCAATTTCAGAATTTTTCGAGTCAAAATATCTCGCAATTTTTCTTTTGAAATGCCTAATTTGTTTATAGTTTGGCTCCGAGCTTTTCATTTTATTACATTTGAAGTTACCGTGGATGCAAAGCGCAGCTTTGCCTCTTTGTACATGTGTATATAGTCCCTGAACACTGGAATTTTACTATTATTTTAGCTGATTAAGTCAAAAATTTCAATAAAGTTTTTGTGTTATCAATTTTTTGCTTCATTAAATTTAGCTGCCTATTGAGTCTTTTTTAGACTTATTAATTAATTGTGAAGCAAAAAGACTGCAAAACTTTGTAGTGATCGAGCTATGGCTGTTTCAATAACGGTTTCTATATTTTTCGTACGTTTTTTGCCCTTTTCTTTTTTACATAACGGTATAGAGTTGCTATGGGGGATGAAAACGAGAAATTACAATGCGTAGTTTTTGATATACAGAGGTTAAAGATATAAAAAGTTTTCATTATAAAACATTTTTTTGTTTATTAATTACCTTTCTATCTATCTATCTATCTAACTAACTGTCTGGCTGATTTCATTGTTTTCAAAATATTTTTGATGCTCATTTCCTTAGTAAACAAGAAAATATTGTCCCAGTTTGCACCAGAAGTATTAGGTTCTCATTTTTTAGTCCTTTGATAGATTTGATTTTACATTTATCTAGAATTTTCCAAATTCGAATAAATACATTCTCAAGTTCAATTTAAAGTACTACAAAATATTTCTGATGATTATGTTTTCGCCTAATTTCTGGTAAATGTCTTTTAAAAGAGTCTTGTATGAAAATAAATTTTAGAATAGAAAACTTGATGGTGATGGAGCTCAGCCTTAAAGTGATAGAGGTTTTTACACTTGCGATACACTTGTTATTACGAACCTTTTTTTTCTAACCTAACTCAGGCAGATAAAAGTTTTCATTAAAAAGTTCACTAATCTAACTCACGCAAATAAAACTGTACATTAAAAGTGTTCACTTATTCGGAAATTTCTATGTAGCATTGGAAATTGCATAGCATCTGTTCTCTGCTTAATTTGTGGCTAGTGTTTTGTACATATTAAGCTTCGACGACTGAGTGGTTAGTGTGTGAGTCTCTTAATCTTTAGGTCGCAGGTTTGAATCTCAGAGGTTTTCGAATTTTTTTTTTACTAATTCGAGGCATATTTCTAATTTTTATTTTTGCACTTTATAGAGCTGCTTTTAGTCGTGCTTAAGCAAATGTTTGCGAAGCGAAGCTTCGCCTCTGTGTTATTTTTTAGTTATAATTATTTTGTTCTTTTGATTTGACAGTGTATTTTTGATTTCTTTTAAATCATCAAACATCTCATATTCTTCGAAATATTATGCAAATGGTGTCGAAATTCTAATATCATAGGAGTCAGTTATGCGCGATGAAAGCCCCAGTTAACAGGGTGTGAACTTTTAGAATGCCATTCCAATTGTATAACCGTCCTCAACGCCGAGGGATCGCCATTTGGATCTTGTGCCTCTGATGCAAATGTTGGTTGCTCTTAGTATAGCGAATGAAATTCTACATCTCACCCAGCACATGACATGACTATATGGGCGGTCCCATTTTGATGCCAGACCATCTGCTAGTCATTTGAGGAAAAATGTGAACTCCGGTGCCAAAACACCATCTATTGAAGTGACAAGTGGAGTGAAAGACATGTGCTTTTCTTCACAAGCCGGTCCATACTTTTTTTTCTTTTCAATCTCTGCAATTTTCAGTACATTCATGGGATTGCGGTTTTGGTAAGACGGAGCGTCAGTGTCTGTAACACGGATGTCGAACGACGCAGCCGACTGTCTATCCCAAACCCCACGAGCTGAAAGATCTGCAATTAGTGCCGGGGTTCCATTTTCTATATCTGGTTCTTTTACGACAGGTTCTCTTTTCACATCTTTCCACAAAATTGAAGCAAGATCGCCCACTGCGTCTCTTATTTCGTTGTGTCGTAGTGTTACCAGTCCGCCCTTCTTGCAAGAAAGTGCATGATGTAAGTCAAAATCTTGTTGACATCCATCGCATCTCGAGAAAGAACGTTTGAGTGGTTTTCTGTACCTGACACATAGAGCGTCTCTGAACTCTGTGGCTGACAAATCAAAATTATCTTTCAACAAGGGCAGCGAAGTTAGCCACAAGGAACAGTTGTTGTCGATTATTCTCCGGATCGCTCGTTTCTGATCTGCTGGTAAAACTGCAAGCAATTCATCGAGCTTATCTTTGTCCACAGCATTTTGGTTCTCCTCGTGATTTTTTCTTGCTTCTCTCATCTTTGTTTTGTGTAGATTTTGTTCGAAATCATCTTGGTGAAGGATCGAACTCACGAGACAGTCGGTTGCTTCACGTGAAGTGGAAAATGCTAAATCGGCACCTTCTGTTGGATTTCGTACACCTAGTCCCCCTCTTTTGACAGGAAGTGAATACAAAACACGATCTGAGTGTGTGACACTAGAAGTTCCTAATAAGCTTGGCAAAAAATTTTCCTCCAGCATCTTCTCGACAGTTGATTTGACAGTTGCTTTTCATTAAATTACAGTAAAGAGTTGCAGTTGAGACTGAAAATGACGAATTGCCACTCCTCTTATTCTTCGAAGTATGATTAGATTCACATAGAGTAAAGACAAATGCTAACGTTTCAGTTTTTTCTTTCTTGGGTATTTTAAGTAGATGAGTCCATTTCTTTGTCTTTTGCCTGTATTTGGTTAATTTCTGTCTATTGGTATGATGGCTCAATTT